ACTAGGTACAAAGACACAGTGAGGAGGTATACATATTCACATGGATTTATTTCCTGATTTGATCAAATATGGAGGCCTGGTGGCCATTTTGAATGTCAAAATCCTGTAAAATCCTTTTTTGGGTGTGTCCATCATCATTTCTCGGAGATGCCTGGACCAATTTTGCTGAGACTTGGTACAAAGACAGAGTGACCACTGGTACAGATGCACATTGATTTATTTTTTCAAGGAATCAATTAATGAGCTCATTTGCATATTTAATTATTAATTTGAATTCTTGTTAATATCTTGTGAACTAAATATTACAAATCAGACCAAACTTTGTGGAGACTTGATTTGTCAATATAAGATATATGCTATGCAATATTGAGTTTCAATTTAATAAACGAGCTCATTTGCATATTTAATTAATTTTGAATTTTTTGAACTAATTGTCCGAATGAGACTAAACTTGGTATAGACTTACTTGATCTGTCAATATAAGATGTTTGCTATGCAAAATTTAATTAATGAGCTAATTTGAATATTTAATTAATTTTGAATTTTTGTTAATATCTTGTGTAATAGTTCATGCATTTGCTATTTAATATTGACTCAATTAAATTTCCATATTCAATTGATTGTGAATTTTTGTTAAAATTGATGCAAATTTTACCAAATTTAATAGAGATGTCCTAGCTGATAACTTTGAGTAACCTACTTTTGATTTTCAACTTGGTCTTCCTACCCAATTTTATACATATACATTCAAACTTTATAATTCATAGCCAACAAAGTGAGGGCTATATCATCTTCAGATGACTTGTTGTTATCATTGACTTTAAAACTAAAACAGTTTTTATCCAATGTCTTTCAAACTTAGATATTACAAGCCAAGTCCAGTTTTGGTTTATGTTCTCTATATAGTTTTCATTCTCCGAAATGTTGAAGTGTCAAGCTTCATTTTGCTAGTCCTTGTTTGGACGAAGTCCGAAAACGGGGACTTATATTTCAGTCTCCGTCCGTTCGTCCGTCTGTGCGTGCATCCGTGCGGAGTCATATTTCAGAATCTTTTGGACCAATTTTGTTTATTCTTTGCATGTGCCTAGTACTTTATTGATGCAAATTTTACCAAATTCAATAGAGATGTCCTAGCTGATAACTTTGAGTAACCTACTTTTGATTTTCAACTTAGTCTTCCTACCCAATTTTATACATATACATTCAAACTTTATAATTCATAGCCAACTAAGTGAGGGCTGTATCATCTTCAGATGACTTGTTGTTATCATTGACTTTAAAACTAAAACAGTTTTTATCCAATGTCTTTCAAACTTAGATATTACAAGGCAAGTCCAGTTTTGGTTTATGTTCTCTATATAGTTTTCATTCCTCGAAATGTTGAAGTGTCAAGCTAGTCCTTGTTCGGACGAAGTCCGAAAACGGGGACTTATATTTCGGTCTCCGTCCGTTCGTCCGTCTATGCGTGCATCCGTGCGGAGTCATATTTCAGAATCTTCTGGAACAATTTTGTTCATTCTTTGCATGTGCCTAGTACTTTATGTGGGACATATGCACATGCAGTGGTTTAGTGATTCAATTCAAAATGGCCGACTGGCAGCCATCTTGTTTTTTGAAAATGTTGTATTTTGGACATGCTTTGTCAGTTTTCATTCAAATTTGGCATATATTTTATACATGTTAGGATAAATGTCCATGACAATTTGTTTCAAAATCGGATCAAGGATGGCCGATTGTCAGCCATCTGACTTTTTGGCCTTACTACTATATTTCCAAGATTTATGTACCATTTTCATTCGTATTTGGCACATACATCATACATGTCACTTTGTTTCATAATCAGATCAAAGATGGCCGAATAACGGCTGTTTTTATTTTTGGCCATATTACTATATCTCTGTCACCCATGTATCATTTTCATTGATATTTAGCGTGTCGTAAATGGATACATGTACATGTCAATTCAATTTGCAATTTGATCAAATATGGCCGACTGGCGACCATCTTGTTTGTTTAAAATGTGATAATTTGGACATGCTTTCACTTGTGATCTATGTTTTTCTTTGCTATGTCTTGTACTGGAGGGGTCGTCACGCAACACGTGTTTGAATTCGATGTAAACAAACAATCTGTTGTATACGCAACTTTGTACTCAAGTTTCAAGGACACGCTCGCAACAACCCCTCCACTTTAATATGACAAGCACAAAGAGAACTTTCACAAATTTAACAGGGACTGTGTCATTATCAATGACTTGTTCTATATATGTGTTTACAAGAGTCATTGCAATTTAAAAGCAAGCTAACATCAAAGCTCGAAATTATGCCAGATTCTCATTTCCGCAAATCCATGAGAATCTGAATTTATTCATATCAACAGAAATGACAGACAGAAAAAGAAGAAAGAGAAAAAGACGTAGAGGAAAGTTTAGCAAAAATGTTTGCTGCGATACAGTGAGAGTTTCCGAAACAACACATTCTGTGAATGACTCAAGTAAAGAAGAGACAAAATTGACTAAAAACCAAAGACGAAAAAAGCGAAAAAAGAAGCGACATTTCTTTCAGAGACTTGAGCAAGGAGGCAAGTCAAAAGTTAATTGCGTTGAATTCACCTACACACCCGAGTTGAAAGGTGAAAAATCAGAGGTTGAGACCACAGAGGAGAAAATCCAAGAATTACGTACCTTTCTCAGCAATGTTTGGGATGTTTATATTACTGAAGGTAACAAAGATTTCTCCTTTTTTTAGTTCTTTCACAACATGCTTACTCTCCATAATATAGTAATCTGGATTTCTAAAAGAGTTGTATAAATTCTCTCAATTGAATATGACAGGCAGAATTGTTGGTATGGGTGATTGTACACTGTACATCACATCAACTTTTCCTTTAAACAAACCGCTAACTCTATTGCTTTTATACTTGGCACATATGTTCCTTGGGCAGATTTCTGTGAGATTTGATCTTTCTGTGATGATGTCTTCAATTCCGAATTTATTGTAGACTTCTTGTTGAAAACCTTTACTCAGAATACCTTGATACTTGGTATATATGATACTTGGGTGGACCTCTATTAGATTTGAACATTGATTGGAGATATATTGAATTTACAAATGTTAGCGAATATTTTTTTTTTTTTATTTTGAAAATGTTATTTTTGATCCCTTCTTAAATACTGCTACCGGTACTAAGAATTGCTTTGATATTTTGTGTCTAGAAGTTTCAAAATATAAAGCTGTCAAAACATACATTCACTCACTTGTGTGGCTCCTGGTGGTTGTGTTTGTTTGTGTGTGCAATGTCACAATACTGGGTTATCCTTCAGCCTTTCAACATTCACCGTTGTGCTTCATTTAGGCATAGACTGGTTGTGACGCAGTTGGCATGGTTATTTCTTGACATAATTTCGTACGGAATATTATGGTAATATCTCAGTGCATTCACAGGCACACACGCATGAATATTATTTTCAACTTCTTCTTAAAAACTGCTATTACAATTGCTTTAATACTTTGTATATGTGTACCTCTATTAGATTTGATAATTACGTGATTACATTTACAATTACCGGTATGTAAATTTAGTGAATATAAGTTTTGGGCAAAAAAGTTATTGGTGATTTCTACTCAAAAACCTCTACTCTGTTTGCTGTGAGACTTGGTATATATGTACTTTGGGTGGACCTCTATCAGATTTGAACATTTTGTGACTATAATTTGAATTACTTAATGCATTCACACATAAGATTGTAATTTAATTGAGTCAAATTGAATTACAGTCCTGTATAGGGTTGCAATTTAATTGAATTTAATTAAATTGGAATTGCTTTCCTATATATGATGGCAATTTAATTAATAGAATCGTAAATCACAAATCAAGTTTAAGTGTTGACCATCTTTTATAACAGGTATTGTAATGTTATTTTTATAGTAGGAAGGCTTCCTAACATCTGAACTAAATCTACATATTCACAGGACACTCAATATTAATGGCTTTCACACCTGCAAACATTATGGGTTTCCAATCCTTATCTCAAGGGGTATCATGGCTCCCCGTTTCTTTCATAGTGTTTCTGTGGTTGGGTTTGGTCGACCACATTTCAACATGAGATAGGACTTCAACTTGAACTTGAAAACTAACGAATCACTTGTTCAACATAAGCTCCATTTATTGCTGAAGTGTAAACATCTGGTAGTTACAGAGACTTGTAGAAAGTCATAAAAGCACAAACAGTGCATGAAATAGATTAAAAACTGACGAGGACTACACTAGAACAGAACTATCATTAAACTTTAAAAGGAAGAATAAAACATTGAGGCATTTTCCACGCAGGCAGAGGTTAACCAAACTAATCAGGGAATATCAGCAAGAAAGGAAGGATGGAATGTTTTTGATTGATTTCTATACAAAGTGAAACAAAATAATTATGTATAACATCTATAAACACACTACTCGGAATTACTCATTAAATTGGAACAAATCACATAAATCAATAAATAAATAGAAATAATCAACATCAAAAACCCACCTATGACTTATTATGGTTTCAATGATAGTTTCTATTAGGGCTGCCTGAGTTACAATATAGCTCATAGCCAACTCAATAACCTAAATATAAAACTGTGTGTGCTCAACAGTACTTTCCCAAGATGCTTAGTTTTACTGTCTTTGCAGCTCACCTCAGTAGAGAAACTGCAATGGTACAGCAACTGGAAACTCCATTCAATCGTCTTCTAACGAGTCTTAGCAATACAGATTCAACAGCTGTTACTCCAATGATAAAACTGAGACAGTCGTTAAGTGCTGGAAATGAAATAGATATCCAGACATGGATGAAACAAGTCAAGGAGGACAGTTCATTACATGAAGGTAAGTTACAGTGTTTATGGTACCAGTGTTAGAGCATTGGCACCTTTATTAAATTGTGAACAGTAATATACGTGTACATTGTACATGTAATTAACATTGTTTTAGCAATTTAGCAAATATTTGTTAAAACCATATATACTAGTACAAATATGCAGTGCACAACCACCTGTATGTACACTAAATCTTGTATACACACTGATATTATTAACATTATGACTTTTTGTTGATTTTTTTATTTTCAGAGGAAATGAGTGTTTTTCTGCTCCTCATTAAATATTGGATAAAGATGAATCACGACAGCAGTGCTACAAGCTGAGCTGAAGCCATATTGCTAAAAGGTCGTTTGGGCATGAACTGTTCAAGTAGAACATATTAGCTGTGAAGAAGCTCTTGAACATCATGCACAACACGCATGTCTCTAGAATCCATCAAGGGAAGCCCTAGTCATCAGTAAGTCTGAGTTTGGCTGGTGTGAGAAATATATATTCACTCCAAGTGAATATATCGTCAAGTACCTGTCGTCTGATCCAGTTGAGGTTTCATTTCCATATGTTATGAGGAAGATGTAATTAATTCCTTGTAAAAATTTGTTCAAAATAATCAACTAGATTTGCATACATGGTTAAAATAAATTAATATTTAAAGTACAAATTGAACAACCAAAAGGGATCAAACCCCAAACCTGGGTATGTGTATCACAGACACAATGGGAAAGTAAAACTCATTTACTGAGATTCATTCACTAATAATACTTTGAAGAAATGTCTCCATGTGCCTGTGTTTAATTTGACTTGCTGGCATAGAGCATTAACTGGCCAAAATAATATTATGATAGCCCTGTAACCTATTTCCAAACATGGAACAAGTTTTTTGTTACAAAATTCATTATTATATGACGGCGTGAAACAATTTGAACATACAACTGTATCATTGAACATTGAGAGCCATAGCCAGATGCAAACACTGCATAGAATGATACTGTTTTGCATGCATAATCAGTATTATTATGTTAATAAGTAGTGCGTTTGGAAGAATATATATGCAAATATAGATTTGGAGGAAAATCCAGAGATTTTGCCATGTAAATTAGCACAGCGGTGGTGGTGCATGTATAGCAGGCATAGTTACACACGAGTCACAGAGATTACCCAAGGTGCACTAGAACCCATTATGTAAATTACGCCATATGAATATGTAAGGAGTGTGCATGTATGGTACAAAATGTATTTCAAATATGCATATAACTATATGTAGCTTTAGTAGATAACGGTTCACATCTTTGTAGCTGTTGATTTTTTTCTCAATTCACACACACTCTGCACACATCATATGAAAAAGATAATGCCCAGAAGAAGCCGGATCTGTGAAATTAATTTATCACAGAAGATTCTCATCTAGCATACCAATAGCTGTACGTATCGCATTATTCGATGAACTTATTGAAACTAAAGAAATCTTGAGTAGAATAAAAACAAACCGTAATTTATTCATAAATTGAAAAGTTTTCACTTAATCCCATTTGAAGGAAACAATGGTTCGCACTTTACAATTCCAGAACCTGGGTCTCAAGAGTTGTTGGGTAATTAGCATGTAACCACCATCCCTTGCTTAAATGCTTAGTTCACACCATCATCGTTTTGATGGCACTTTAAAGCGGCACAAAAGCCTAACAAAGCTTGATTAAAGCGTCGGGGTCGTAATAGATAGTGGAAAGCTTGGAGTAAAGTGGAACATTCGGCAAGAGCGCCAACAAATTTTAAACTGTTTGAACATTTTTGATGCTCTGTCATGAATTGATTAAAGTGCAGAGAGCGTATCAAAGCTTAAGAAAGCTTGATTCAAAGCATAGGAAAGCTTAACAGAGCTTGGTTCAATGCGGAGAACCCAGCCTTCACGGTCTGTCACCAATTGACATGCTTCGTTAAGATGTCTCAAGATTTTCTACGATCTGGCATGAAGATCTGTCACGAGGTCAGACGTTTTCATCAAGGTACGCTTTTGTGAAGGACTCTCGCGCATTCCCGCGAATTGAGATGCTTTGATCAAGGATTGGCACACTTTGTTAGGCTTTGTTACGCTTGGCAAGCCAAATCTCGCTCTCTCACGCTTCTTCACATGCTCCTTCAATACCCACACTCTGTCTCCATCCCTATAATAATAGCTCATTGAATTCATTGTTTTCAAACAAAGAAGTATGCTGAACCTGAAAAACTACTAAAAAACACAAAGATGGGACCCAAGAGAGGTAGAGATGCAGCAAAGAAGAGCCAGAGAGGGACAGGCAGAGGCCAGGTAGCTGAAAGGCCGAGGTCTCCAACACCATCCCTGGCAGAAGATGAAGTCATGGTTCCAGAGCCAGAACAGCCACAGTCTCACCCTGCAGGGGATGATCTCTCAGACATCACATCACACCAGTGCCAGCAGCAGCCGCTTGCAAAAAGCATGCAAACAAACCGTACTACTATTCGACACTGACAGAGGCGCAAAAAGAAGAGGTCATTGCCTGGCTAAAAGACAATTCCTCCATCTACCCAAAGAGAATGACAGATTATAAAGACTCACAGAAAGCTGGGAGGTAAGATAAGCTATGGGAGGACATAGCTACTGACATGGGTGTTGAGGTGGCAGCCCTCAAAACCTTTTACAAGTCCAACCATACCCAGATAAGCCTCCTCAAGAGGACTGTGGGGAAGTCAGGTGAGGTTGCTGAGACAGTCGAGGACCTGTCTGCCATGGACAAGTGGGTGTGGGAGAAGTTCTCTTTCCTCAAACTGTGGAACGCAGAAACTTGGTGAGCATCCGTGGTAGAGGTAGACAGAGGGGAACACCAGCAACCGCCACAGCTACTGGGCCAGCAGTACCCCCACCAACAGCAGTCGTCATCCAGTCAGACACTGTGTCAGAGTCTCAGTCTACAGAGCCCCCCTCTTGAAGACTCTCCACAGAGAGTGTTGACTTGAAGCGAAGTCTCATGGACTTTATGTCCAGCAAGACATATAGATGAGGGTCTGGCACAGCTTCCTGGGGACATCAAATGGGCCTTCACAGACCCATGGCAGTGCTACTCGAGGGACAGAGGCAGGCTGAAGAGCGCCAGCAGATGTTCCAGCAGATGCCCACCTACCCACAGCAGCAGCAACAGGTCGCCATATCCAGCCACAACTTCAGTTGTACCTACCAAGCTAACCAGCAGGCAGTACCCCCCAAAGAATGGTGTCCCAGGCACCAACTGCATGGGGGACATTCCACCTCTGTTCAAACTGCTGGGCAAGGTTTCTCCATGCTTCAGGGGTGGTAGGTGAGTTGAAGACCTCATCTTTATATGCCTGTGTGGCCGTGCACACTTCTGGAATCAGCTCTGATATGGTGGAGATACCACATCTGAATCTATTTGCCAGTGACCTGTTGTTGCCAGATGTCTCGAGGTGATTGCCAGCTTGAGGCCAGCTGACAGGGGTGCCTGTAGTTAGTCTGCTGCTTCTGGATGACTGGTGCCACTCTCTCCAGGATGTCATCAAATATCTCAAGGGTCAATCTGGTGAAGTTTCTGAAGGCAGGGGGGTCTTCTAATCTGAGTTGTGTGTCCAGGAGGCTGCTGTAATGACCATACTGCGGTCTTCTTTCTTCAGTGAGCCATGGCCTGGTCCAGCAGCACCTGATAAATGGTCTTCTCCCTCCTGCTGGTAGGTCAACCTCCTCTTGTCTTTATTGTTCTTTCTCCCTGTCCTCCACCTCAATGGCTAGGGTGTAGTTATACAGCAGGGAGACAAACATCATGTATTCTTCAGATAGATCATGCTCTGGTACATCTGGATCTTGTTGTTCTGCCACCGTGTTCTAGAGTCAAAGATGCGATTATTTTGTGGATCTGTTGCATCTTTATATAGGCTCAGGATCAAAGGCAGCATTAAATCGGTGATCTCAATATTTTCCCATTTGTAACAGAGATTAACAGAGCATAACAATGCACAACATATCGTATCTGAGCCTGATTTAAAACCTCATAATCGCACCAAAGCGTATTAAAGCTTATCAAAGCATGATTTCAAGCGTAACAAAGCCTGATCAAAGCGTGAGGAACCGTAACAAGTCCCACAAAGCGGCAACCTATTCGTTTTTGGAAAAGTAAACAAAAATGACGGCGCATTGCTCGCCGATTTAAAGCACGGCATTCGCCGTTAGTGTGAACGGTGTACATGTTGGTGTCTTAAATGTATATATAAATTAATGTACTCAACAGATCAAAAACTCATCCTTTACATATTCAGCAATAACACAAATTGAAAACAAAATATCCCTACCTGCTTGGTCCGTATGTATTCACAGAGACTAGCAACAATATCAGAGTGCTGTAAAGCTACATATCAAGCGACTCAGACTAGATTTCAAGATAGTATAAATTAAGCCACTAACAGACAGCCATTTTGTTCTAGATATGTTGAATTTTCTGCTTTATACTTATCTGTTTCAACAGCCTTGGTATCTGTTATTAGTGTGCCACAAAATGGGTGATAAGCAACGATTTTCCTCGTCAAAGTTCCTATGCATATCAGTCAAACAAGAAGCTTAAGATTGTTGTGGTTCATGTTTGCGAGTCAAAAAGCAGTCACTATTTCATCTTTTCAGTTCACGCACGACAAAGGGTTGTGAATTTAATGGACATAACTACGGTAGTTAATACTACCGGTATTAACATTCCTTCAGAGTATTTTGAAGCTCACTCAGGAAATTTAATTTGCATATATTATATGAAAAAATTAAAGTCAGCTATTGTGCATTTAAGTAAAAGCCCATGTAGCATAGTAATATTCTAAGCAACTTGCTGTTTTGGTACTACATATTAAAATTGAATTGTTTTGACAGCTTTGACATCTGAGCATGTCATTTAATGGCTGATCCAAACATAAACCATAACTTGCATACCGTTCCTATTCACATCTTTCAACAACATTCAAACATGACCCAGAAGGAATCTGTGGTTAATTTGTTGACTACCCTCAAGCGAAATCCAACAGTAAATCAGAAGGCAGTCACTAGTTATTAGTCCCCGTTCGGACAACAAATATGTTTTTACCTTTGTGCGTCTGAACCTGTATCTTAGACATGCCTGGACCAGTCGTAATCAAACTTTACACGTACATCATACATAATACATTATACATATGCACATCAATTTCACGATCTGATTCAAAATGGCCGAATAATGGCCATTTTGTGCTACAAAATCATCAAAATCAAACATTTATGGATGGATTTTGTTTAAACTTGATACATACGTTGAATATTATGGGACCTTCATGCACATTGACTGGCGGC